TGAGGTTCTCTTGATTGGAAATGAAGCCAAGTGTCCGTCGGTCCGTGAGGAAATGTAAGGCTCTCCCCGGGCTTTCCCCAGGTATAGGAAACTGTTAGTAATATAACGGAGGTGTCTGTATTAAGTGGGTCTGGTGTCGCTTTTAGTAAGTAAAAAACCCGGGGTAAAAAATTCGTTAGAAGCCAAGAGATCTTAACAAGAATTTTTCGTCTTTGACAGTCCCTCGTTAGTAACCGTGACTTATCCAGAAATTTTCGGTCTCGGGCCAAAATAAACATAACCTCTCTCATACAGAGTGCAGAACCAAAATAAGAACACACACTTGCGATCGCTTCATAAGGTGTTTATTTATGCCCAACCTTCACACCGCCCTCCCCTTTGTGTGATTCTTTGTTTGTGGAAGCAGTCGGTGAAGTCAATACGTTTCAGATGAGTTCTACAGCTTCGTCCTCGCAGAATTAAACTGCTTTATTAATATTTTGTCTCACTGGGGAGGGACGACGGCTTACAGTTGAGATAAAACGGCTTAAAAAACAATCGGGAATAGGTTGTTTTAAATTAGCTTCAATTTTCGTATTCACTCAGCTCATAGCTCACACACACATAGATGAGGCATTACTAAAAAATGCCATACACATTAAATGGAATTAACCTAATAAACGGTTGGTGTTGTTGTTGTTGTTGTTGGGTATTAAATTTTTCAATCAATGGTCCTAAGTTAACGACCTTCGCCACACTGAGTTGCTTTCTACGATTCAACGCATTTAACCAACATTTTCAAAACATAACTTCTATGCATTTAAGGTGAAATTACACTATGCAGGTCACTGATACATTTTATTAATTCTTTTTTATTTTATTTTGTTTTATTTTGCCAATCAGATCTTTCTTATATTGATTAAGATTTAAAAGTTATCTAATAGTAAGAAGACCTTATTAAATTTTACTTCCAAGCGCGGTTGTCATAATGAATGCAATCTGTTTTAAAAGCAAGATTTCTCTTCAGTGGCACTATTATTTACATTTTATGAAAAGTGCAGTGACATGTAGACGTCAGAAGTCTTCTATTTCCAAAACAGACTTGCGTAAGCGAAACAGCTTTCATCATCTTAGGAAATCCCTCTCCCCGCCTTCCTTCCGCCCCTCTCCGTTGTCTTGACGCCTCAGTTTACTCCCCATAACGCACCCCCTGTCCCAGTTCGTAAAACTTTATCAATTCGTTTCTTTTTCCAATTAAAACAGCGCCCAACACGAACACTAATTCCTTGTAATACGACAGTCAACAGCTTAAATAAATAATTTAAAATATTCGCAAATCCATCTATGAACACCAAATAGAGCGTGCGCAAAATTGCGCGACATTCTTGTTGACTTCATTCTTTCTTGCGAAAACACTGATGCCAACATGAAACGGATGTTATGTTGTTGAAATGGATAATGTAACTCCGCTTTTAAATCCACCATACAGAGCCTGTCACTATCATAGGGCAGAAAGTCTTTTGTCGTCAGTAATGCGTCGGTCGATGAGACAGTCGTCAACTTCTTGTCTGAGTCTAAAGGTCATAAGAGATCTAAGTCTTGCTTAGATATGAAAACATGTTTATTAAAAGAATTATTTCGATCAAACTTTTGAATTTCTCTTAGTGAAATTAAGCAGCAAACCAATCTAGCTATTGCGAAGAGAGTCTCTACGACCGTTCATTTTAGTAAGGAGATCTAAAACGAAGGCGTCAGGCAAACGCGCACAATGCGGAAACTCGGCAGCATAAAACATAGCGCACAGTAAAAGAAGTTGGTTTCTAAACGATGGTGAAGCAAATAAGAGGTAGGCAGAGCATTTATGTAGCACGGAGATAAAGTTAAATGCAACTATAAACGAACAACTTAATTGAATTGTTAATCAGTTTGCGTGATCACCAACGCAAACACTGTTGCATTACAAGTTGATAACATACCTAAAAATGCTTAGCGTAAAATACTATAACAAGATAACTGTTACTTGTGCTTACCCGTGTTGTTTGATGCCAAGATGGCAGAAAACCAAAACTGGAGGCCGACAACAAGAAGTGGATGAATCATCTTTATCGGTCGCGCGTTGATAAAATAAATGACGAGGGGGGAATGGAACATGATATTTACTTAATGTCTCTGTATGCTGTCGGATTATCAACTGTCACAGGAAAAACGATAAATGCGATGATAGGTCAGCTAAAGAGTTTTTTGCAAATGCTTTGTTAAACTTCCCCTAAGTGAGTATACATTTACAAAGATGCGAGGGAACTCTTTAAGACTGGCTTTTTTACTGACTTTAACGATCCAACAACTCTAAAATCTAAAATAACCGAAACTTATTCTTTAATTTCTTTAGTACCGCCGGAGGTTAGGTCGCTGGGGTAGTAAGCTTCTAGTCCCAGATATTCTCTCAAGTTACCCGCTTACTAAATGCAGGGAGTGGGACCACCTCCTGTTAGGGCGGTCTTATTCTGCGGTAGGTGCTACAAACTCCTTTAGACGTTTCAGCCGTTACTATAAAACTAAAATTCAACAGAATAAATTGTGTTCTGACCATGCACTAGCGTTATTTTCGTTATCATTGCCTCAAAGGTTTAAATTATTTGACCTCCGAACATAAACCGTGAAACAAGTGGACCCCCAGAAAGGCGCGACCTTAAAGTGACTAGGGTCGTTACCATCGGACCAAACTTAACGGTATCTGAGTGTCTCTGTTTGCCAGTTGCTTGCTTCGGTAACCCAGAATTCTTTTGCAAAATAGCGTATTTTTTTCCCGGCGGCTTAATTATTAGTAACATTATGTCATAATTAATAACTAATGCCGATTGTTCCTTGCAAGAATAGCTAACTCGGAGTGTTTTACTTCCAGTTTTCGAAGCTCTTGCAGAATGTTCGATTCAGGCGCGTTTCACAAAGGCACGCGCACCTGCCCATATACGATCGTGAATGGTTCGTTTGATTTTTGGCCATCCTGTCCAACCTCTTCTCGTGGCCCTCAATTGAAATACTGATTCAGGTCATTGAGAGGGCCAGTTTTTGGTTGCCAACAATTATTGATCTATTTAGAAACAGAGTGCAGAGGGCAAAAATTACGTAATACGTACTCCTTACGCAGCTTACGAAGCGTCGTGCTGTATCTCCTGGAATATTAACCTTTTGTGGCTTTGGCTATAATGCAAAATCTTTATTATTGAATGGCGCGCAAGTTTTGCTGCTCTACTTCACTGTGAGGAGTTTGCATTCTCGGTGTTTGTATGTTGTCCCTCCATGTTTTTCATGTTTCTCTAAAACTTGAAGTGGGTTCTTACCCTTGAAACAATATCTGACTTGGATGGGTTCCAACACTTATTTCAACTCAGGGATCAGAGCCCAAAAGATTAAAGGGGCTAAGATCTTGGTGAGATTTAGGTTCTTCGCATAGGAATTGTAGTCCTTAACGTGACAAAAAAGAAGGGACTTTGATTAATGCACCTTTGTTTTCGGCATGACTCAGCGGACTCGCTGGTGGCGGATTTTCTCCTGTTCACGGCCTTTCCTGCGACCGGAAGCAACTGATAATCCGGAACTGAACCCACTCTGGGAAAAACTTAAAGAAAATTGAAGTTTTTTCCGAACGCGGAACAAACACATCTCAAGTTAACCTATATAGTGATTAAAATTACGTGAGTTTCATCCAGTCATTATTAGCCTGCATAGCTAACCAGTTTCTCACCCAGCTTCTTTGCGAATAAATTTTCTTCCTGGACTCCCGCCTCCCCAAAACATGCATGCGGCCACATGTGTCTAATAGGTCTCTTGCGGAAAGGAGTTCTGTTTTTTGCGTTTCGCCAAAAGGATAAAAAGCCTGATCGCAAGTAACCTTTGCCTCGCCGTTTTCAATCGAAGCATCCACTGGCTAATCAGGTTACTAGTCGTTGTAAAGTTACAAGCTTTGATATGCAGTTCGCGCACCAGAGCACAAGGAAGGGGGGGGGGGGGTACTGCCATATATGGGCTATATAGGTATGTGCCGCTGTGAAGGGTATGGTTTTCAAGCAGTTTACTCTAGGATAGGGTGTATAAATCAGAGCGTTTGGGTCTAGAATAGGGTATCATTTTTCAGGAAACTGATCAGTTGGTTGAAGATTTTGTCTAGACAAGGTAAACAGCTACTCTAGGATAGGGGAATTTGGGGAATTTACTCTAGTATAGGGTAGCAAAATTCAGCTGAACTAGCTCTGGTATAGGTTAAGGGTTCCAGGGTCCCAGCGGCACATCCCCACCCAGAAATTCTTAAAGTACCCCCCCGGGGAAAATTTGCTAAAACTAGCGCAGGGCGTAGCATTCATGGTTGGGTGTGTTTTCTTTCTCTCTTCTATTCTGTCTTTTTATTTTCCCGACTTTACAGAATATTTCTTACACCGGCTTCCCCGTTTTCATCGCGTGTATGTACGGTGTGCGTTTCGAGTGCGTTAGATGGTTCAGCGGCAGATCCATCACTTGCAAATTCCTATTCACACCACTGAAACATGTTTGATTAAACATTACTTAAAACAAAAATCAGTCTGAGCAAGGAGTTTAAATGTGCTTTTACATTACAACAGTAATCAACCCGAGCGGGGCAATCAACTCAGTGTCAACTTCACGGGGGCAAGCCGCTTGATTTGACGACACGACGGACGAAGCAAAGCGGATTTAGATCATGTCACATATAATCTCCCTCAACAGCACTGTTTTCTCAGTGGTTGAGTTACGTGTAACTTGTGATATTACGAGTAAAAACAGAAACGTAAAGACGCACATGTCTGGCACGAGCTCCGGTACAAACACGCACAGAGCTAACACATTTTTGAAACTAAAGTACTTAATAACTTTACAGGATGCCTTCAAAATTGATTGTAACGATTAAAGATAATTATCAAATTCCCCTGGAAAAACCTGTTATTTTATTTTATTTCACTTCGTTTTATTCTATTTAATAAATTATTTCACTTTGTTTTATTCTATTTGAGCATAAAACAGTATACGTTTGCTCTCTTCTTAATTTCACCACGCCCAGATCGTATTTCTGCAAAACTCAGGAGCCAGTACAATAAACACCAGCATATAAGAACACACGATTTCGGAGGTCAGGTTGATTGAGTTCTTATTTATCGGGTGCTTAATGACAAATCAGCCTCAAAATGTTCTTAAATTTTTATTTAGTAATACTATCCAAAATATGTTGCTAGAAGTATATTAATATTTACCATATTTTAGGAAAATAAAATAAATAATTATTCTGTAATTTCATTATATTAACAAATGGAGTTATTTGACAGCAAACATAAACTTACATGTTTTGTAATTATGACACTTTTTCCATTTTATAAGAACATGTTACAATTTTCAGGCTGATCTTGTTCTTGTGAAAATGGAGCTGTATTGGCCAAATTTCAGCCTGGTGTTCTTACTCCATTTGTTCTTATATGCGGGTGTACACTGTATCCTGCAAAAATAAATTTTTAACTTGTCATTATGCTAATATAAGTGTTTCTATCAACTTAGAGACGAACGGTTCCCAAACGCCGATCCAAACCCGGACTACTTTAAAAAAACGGCACGTTCTCGTTGTTTAATAGCGAGCAATGGAAATGCCTTCAGGCTGGCGTTTAAGAGTTGCGGAGGGCACTGATGTTGTTTGTAAACGGCTTCCTCATCAGTTCATCGCAAAGTGTTTGTACATGATTCGAAACTGTGGATAAGTCGACCGGCAGGGACAAAACACATGCTAAAAATAAAGGGATTATGACAGAGAGTAAACATACTTAAGTTTTCGTGTGTGTGTAGCCGACTTAAAAAAATAAGCACTTATCATAATCTTTGCATGACTTGCATATCCTTCCAATCACTCACATGCAGTTTTTCAAACGAACGTACCAGTCACGTGCGGTGAATTCACTCTATATCAGTCATCTCTGGAACTGAGTTGAACACACTCAATGGACACCTCGACACCTGGTTAAAGAAATAGTGCATGGTGAGGCGAGATCTCGATACCGAACCACCCTGTTAACATACATGAAGAGACCAGCCCTGTTCTCTTAAACTATATAGTCTAAAGGTAGCCGAAGGTTTATTGCCCTACCATTTACCATTTAGGGGAACATTGTTCTAGCGTGGGATGGAACCACAAATGGCCCAAGCTCGAAATATGACCATCTGCACCGTTACGTAACCTTCCAAATAATATAAGGATTTGTATGGTGAAAAAACGATCGTTTCTGTAGCCTACGAATGTGAAAGGATTTAAATAAGAATCTGCTAACTTCACTTGAAACATTGTTTTTTCTTGCCTGTGTGGTTTTGCAGCCGATTTTTGGCCAGTTTATGGGATATATTGGAACTGGTTTGTTCTCTCTACATGTCGTCTAAAACCTTTACAGTGCCAACCTTGGCGGAGAGGAATACAGAGAGAACAAACCTGTTGCAATAAAAGCGATATAATATAACCATAAAACGACTTAAAAACCACACAGAAGAAAAGAAACACACAACTTGAGTGAGCCCGATTTGCCTAATTTTATTTAAATCCTTTCACGTTCGTGGGCTACAGTACTAGAGATTATACGTTCTCTTGGTTACAGTGACAATCGTTTTCCATCATGCAAATCCTTATTTCGAACGATACACAACAATGCCAGTCGCCAAATCCTGCCAGTTTGAGTTTGGGCCACGTGCGTTACACCTGTGCCTGAAAAAGAGATATCATTGATCTGGGGCCTGATGGGCTCCTGCAGCTCTTGCATTATAAAAGTCAGTGTCGGCCTGGGACGAAAGTGCCCGCCCGCGCAAGCAATTGTGGAATTTTTGAGGAGAGAGATAGACGCGGAAGCCAACTCAGGGAAATCAAAATCACAGGTTGTTTGTTTTAATGTCTCTCCTGTCAAGAAACCAGAAACACATGCAAACTGATATTACACGCAAGTATCCTTGTCCCCAATTCGTGATCATTAAAACGGCGTCTCTCGAAAAACTGTAAGAGTTGACATTCAATCACCTCCTTAAAAACAACAACACCGATAACATCCTTACGCGGATGACACGGGTCAACCGACAATGTTACAAAGAATGCAATCCAAAGTCCCTGTTCTCCCGACAGGGGGCACGGTCCAGACGCACAACAACCTCCTCGAAAGATTTATATGGGAATTTATCGTAAGATCTATAAAACAGTTAAAATCAAAACTCAGGATCTACAACTCAACTCTTAGAGGTCTACCATAACATTGCTTGCGGTCATGACGTTGATGCAATCTACCTCCACTTATCTAAAAATAAAGCTTTTGACATGGTATCGCCCATCTGCTGTTCCTTAGATTAGAACGGAGCGGTATCAGCGGCTCTTTACTATCTTGGTTTCCGGTAGTTAGTTCACGGGTAGACAACAGAGTCGTACTAGAAGGCTGCTTTACTGACTGGCTGCCTGTACTTTCCGACGTTCCTCAGGGGTCAATTCTTGGGCCACTT